TTTTAAAATACACTTTTCTTCAAAAAGTTTTTTTTCAAAAAAAAGTAAATTTTTAACAATAATTTGTAGTTTCTCAAAAATCTAATTTTTCAGAGTAAATTTTTTCAAAAATGTTAATCTTTAAAAATAAAAAAAATTGATACGGGAAGTTCCGGCAATTTGCCTTAAGGCACGATGCCATGCGCCCTACTAGTTTTTCTTTTTTCACTAGATCTCGGAAACCGCTCCAGTCGTTTTTGAATTATTAAAATCGGACACTCCGTTCTCTTAAAAACTGAGTTACCGTTTGTGGCACTTTTTGCCCTGTATCATCGAAACGGCTAGACCAGCCTATGCCAAAAACTAATCAGCTCTCCTTATCAACAGCAATAGAATGTTTTTTGAATAATTGAAATCGGTTGAACCGTGTTCCCGAAATTGTCGACGAAAATTTGTATCCGCGCACACACACACATACACACACATACATACATTTTTTTAAGGTATGCCAAAATGTTCAGAAACCTCTGAAACGTAAAGATATATAAAAATTTTCATTTTCGATTTTTTTGCGATTATTATAACTTACCTTACGGGAAGTTATAATAATAAATTTGATTACCATATCTCAAAGGATAAAATGTGTGAGAAGTGTGCCTTAATGGCACGGTTTATGTTTTCGTAGAGCTTTTGTTATATGTAGCAAATTTTCACCTTGGATCTATGTTTTCTCAAAAATAGATTAACCGACCTCAAAAATTGTAAAGCCATTCAATGAAACTCAATGCTTTAGTTTCACTCAGAATTTGCAGAAAACTGCATTAAATTATGAAATAGTTACACTAAAATTAAAAAAACGACATTATAATAATTCGTTAAATATATATATATATATAAGTTCTATCATAAAATTGAGCTAAGTTAAAAAAGTTGCTAATTCTCAATTAAATTGATCATATGTCCAATATGTATATATTAAATACATATAAATCTACTCATATATATATATATATATATATATATATTTATATATATATATATATATGTATATATAATTAAATTTGAAATAAGTATCTGATAGCAATGACAGCACTAGTTTGCTATTTTTGTACTTTTACGCTCACTGTGAACAAAGTCCACAATAGTCATCGTTGGCAGGAAGGTTTTTTTCAAATCATGATTTATTCATAAGGATCATTAGAAAATCAATGCAAATCGTTTTTATTGACACTGAAATACTATTCCGTCAGGTACATATTTTGTAATGTAATTGTTTTCAATCATATATTATATTGTTTTAAATAATATAGCGGATTTGAATAAACAGACTACAAGCTAAGACATGATACACATTGTTAAATTAAATCAAAGGGATAAAAAATAAATAGATCTAAATAGTAAAAGTGCTCAATCGAATGACCTTATCTAAAATCTACATAAAAACGTATGTTTTTTTCAATTTTAAAGCGAAACTTAAAATTAAGTAATTATATTCCTAGAGGTCAATTGCATCTCGAGGGGTTTTTATTTCCCTTCATTCATTTGGATCTATTGATAATAGTAGAAAACCAGCACAAGATAAATATTTAATTACCATCAATTGATATCCAATAATCACTTTATAGTCGTTTTTATGAATTTTCTTTCCAAACTTCTGCTTCCATGCTTCCTGGTCATGTGCTTTGGCTTTCAGTTTGCTGTATTTCCTCTTCTCACGTAAGTCGTCAATCGTCTGCATTCTTCTTCTTCCCAATTCTTTCAGTCCTCCTATTTTGACTTCAAATTTGTTATCTTGTCAGTCCACTTTATCTTCTCCGTTCGCTTCCAGCACCACATTTAAACTCTTCAGATAGATTTTGTCGGCATTTCTCAGAGTGTCTATGTCTCTAATCCGTACAAAACTATACTCCAGATATAGCACTTCATCAATCTCTTCCGCAAGTCAAGACTTAGTTTGCTCGTCAGTAGCGTTCTTTTCTTCGTGAATGCGTTTGCAATCCTTGTCCTGATCTCTCTTGCAGTATCCGTCTCTGGTCAGATGCTTGAAATAATCAACATCTTCCAATTCTCGATTTCTTACTGTTATCTTCAGAGAATCATCTCATTTTGATACTCATCACTTTCGATTTGTCGACGTTCCGTAGCTTCTGCCCACTTCAACGATTCTTATCATCATGTTTTGTAGCTCGGTTGCGGTTTTCGATATAACCACGAAATCATCGGCGTACTTTATGGAAGTGATTCTTTTTCCTCCAAAAATCTCCTGCTCCTTCAAGCGCCTCGTTGACGAGCCATTCTCCGTACATATTGAATAGGATCGGTGACATGCAGCATCTTTGCCGCAATCCTCTCCTTATTTCAACGCTATTTATGTCACCTTGATTGACTCGAACCTTCAGTTTCTATCCAATATAAAGATTCTGGATCAGCCTGCGGACTCGCCAATCGATGTCAGTAGCTTTTAAAAATTCCATAAATGTATTCCAGTTCACTCTGTCAAAGGTTTTTTTCCAAACTATGGAGCAGAAGCAGATGTTCTTGTTAACGGAGCATCCGATTTGAATGATCTAAAAAACATTCAATTAGTAATGATTGGGAGAAGGGGTTATTAGTTTTTCGCAAAGGCAAGCCCAGCCATTTCGGAGATACAGAGGTAAATGTACAAAAAATGGCAGTTTTTGAGAGAACTAAGCGTCCGATTTAATTGATTCAAAGAACTTTCCGCTTGTCTTAACAAAATAATTGATTTTGGTAAAAAAAATTTTTGTACCATTTTTTTTTCTTTTTTTTTTTTTTAATTTTTTGTATATCGAAAATAATTCAGATTTTATTTTTAATTCTGACTACAGTTCTAATATACTTTAAACAAATAATTTCAACTCTGCAATTCAGTTTATATAATTCTTATAAATATTAGACAATGTTACAATATTTATAATAATCTATTTGAAAACATTCAATATTCCTCGAACATTTCGTTACGGTACGGGAAGTTCCAGCAATTTGCCTTAAGGCACGATGCCACCCACCCCACTAGTTTAATTACATTTTATGTAAATATATATAAACTTCGTCATCAATTTATAAGCTATGTTCTGTCTATAAAATACGAACTAGTGGTGTAAGGCATTGTGCCTTAGGGCAAGTTGCTGCTACTTCCCGTAACCTAACGAAATGTTCGAGGAATGTTAACTTAGACGATGACGCGGCGCTTACGCGCTTCGATATTTCGTCTCTATGCAGTTAAAGCAGTACGATCGCTTTGAAAAAAAAGTTCAGAATTTCCAAAATATTTCAAAATAAAGAAAACATTTTGCTTCAAAAAGCCTTTTTTTTCAAAAAGAGTAAATTTTGGTCAAAAATTTATAGTATCACGAAAATCTAACTTTTTCAAAATAATTTTTTTTTTCAAAATAATTTTTTGTCAAGAATGTTAATCTTTTACAATTTTTTTTTTTGTACGAGAAGTTCCAGCAATTTGCCTCAAGACTAGCATCGTGTCTTAAGGCAAATTGCGCCCCACTAGTTTGATCATTCAAATCGGGTGCTCCGTTCTCTCAAAATCTTGATTTTTATATTCTGCACTCTTTGCTCTGTATCTCCGTAACGGCTGAACCTACCTTTGCCAAAAACTATTCAGCAGATGTGATATCAATAGGAATCGAGTTTTTTTGAACCATTAAAATCGGCTGCTTCGTGCGGCCGAAAACGCGAACGAAAAAATGCGGACACTAAAAACACGCACACGCACATACACATATCCATTTTTTATATTTTATTTTTGATTTTTGGCCCATTACTATAACTTATACTACGGATAAGAAAAACATGATGCCTCTTAAAATGAACAAATAAAAACTATACCAAAAATTCATGAAAAGTATTAGATACGATGCAAGGAGTGCAGAAAATAGAAATCGAGTTTTTGAGAGAACGAAACATGCGAGTTGATTTCTACAAAAAACATTCAATTTGTAATAATGGGGAGAGGTAGTCTTTAGTTTTTGGTAAAGACAGGTCCAGCGTTTCGGAGACACGGAGCTAAATGTGCAAAAAATGTCAGTTTTTGAGAACTAATTGTAAGCATCCGATTTTTATGATTTAAAAATTTGTTTGCTTGTATTGACAAAACTATTGTTTTTGGGGATTTTTTATGTTTTTTTTTTAATTTCTAGAAAAAAAATTTTTTGAATACCGAAAATAATTCCGATTTTAATTCTTATTCTAGCTAAAGTTCCAAAAAATCACTTATATATTCCAAATAATTAATTTTAACTTTGCGATTCAGTTTATATAATTCTTATAAATATTAAACGATTAATTTAATAAACTAATCTAATAATTTCCACTTTCTGCACTATTTGCTTCAAATCCCCGAAACGGCTGGACCGACTTTTGTCAAACACTAATCAGTACGTCTCCTTATCTATTGAAATCTATTGCTTTTTGAATAATTCAAATCGGTTGACACGTGCTCCTGTAAACGTGGACAAATAATTATATCCATACATAAGTACAACACATGCATACATATATTTTTTCTAAGGTGTGCAAAAATGTTCAGAAAGCTTTGAAATGTAAAAATATGCAAAAATTGTTATTTACAGATGACTATAATAACAGCCTACGGTAATTTAAAAAAAAAACAACTAACTGGCATTAAAAAAATGCAATTTGTTCAATAATTTACAGTGCCAGCTTGTGAGGACTTTTAAAGGATTTTTGATAAAAAGCACTCATATGACAATTATGACAGTTTGAATTGCTTGATTAGAAAAAAATATTATTAAATAAGATATTTTAAAATGATAAATTATAGTTATCTTAGAATTTGTTCAAGATTCTAGATATTTTATAAATCACGAATTACAATCTTTAAGTTATAAAGTATTTCAGGATAAAACATCAAGAACTAAAAATTGAAAAACTTGAAATGTAAAATTTGTATTTGTATAATTTCTTTCATTTCCAGGGAAGGTAATCACCCGGACGACTACAGCCGATTAACGTACCGGAAACTCTTAGAAGAAGTATGCAGATTTGCCAACGTTTTAAAAAATTTAGGAGTTCGCAAAGGTGACAGAGTATCTATTTATATGCCAATGGTTTTGGAATTGGCAATTGCTATGTTAGCATGTGCTAGAATAGGGGCTGTTCATTCGATCGTGGTAAGTGATATTTTGCTTCAACGTTTTGAAGTCAAGTTTAGTCCATTATCCATATTAATAACAATAAGTGCTTTAACCTGAAGGTAGTACGGTAGCAATATTTCTTCCTGGTATATTCTTTTTTGTTCAATCAATGAATCATTTTCTTTCACTGTATTACACATTTTATTATTAGACTTATTCTTTTTCTATAATTCTGCGCAGTGCTTGCTTGCTTTTCCATTTCCGGATTCTTACGGTCCGAAACATTCTAAATAGTTTAGATAGATATCAAAAAAAATGCTTTATATTTTCAGATTCTTATACATTCAAGTGAGGAAAACTGCTCAACAGTTAGCAAACGGCATTATAATATATTCTGGTATAATTCTTATAAGAGGTGGTTCGTGCTTATTAATCCATAAAATACTTGAAATCTTTTTAAATTAAAATTAGAATGAGCGATTGTTTTTACTCTCAATCAATAATAAAACAGCAATAAATGAACTTTGAATAACTTAATGGCTTCAAATATAAAATATATCAACTCAATCCATCTTGAAACATATACAAAATAAAATTAACCAATACACGAAAGGAACAAGATGAGCTTTCAAAATAATATAATTGGTAGTGAAAAGTAGTTTCTCACTTACCATGTCTTGTGTTCTACTATTGAGTTTTTATTTACTGATACAAACGCTATCAGTATCTTTTATCACCTACGTTTTCTGAAAACGATAAAAACGATATTTTTTAAATCACTGTCTTCCGTTAAATCAAATATGATCCAGATTATTGTTACTATAGAAAAATAGTGCTAATTTTTTTTTAATAGCAATCATTTACAATGTTATTACATATTTTGTCAGTTTGCAGGTTTTTCATCCGACTCTTTGGCCGAAAGAATGACAGACTGTCAAGCGAAAGTCCTCGTAACTGCTGATGGAGCATGGCGAGGTGAGAAACCATTACATTTGAAAGCTCTTTGTGACGTAGCTATGGAAAAAGCCGAAAAGCTGGGCCATCGCGTTCAAAAATGTGTGGTTGTCGCTCATCTGAAACGTGTCACTCCTGGAACCAGCGAGGAGATCAATGGAGTCGAGGTAATTTCATTGTTAAGCCCATCAGTTATAAGAAACACAATTGTAGCATTTTTGATCCTGGATTTGAAATTACTTAAATACCGTTTATGTTTTAATATTTAAATTTCTTTACCTTTTTTTTCCTAAATACAGACTCCTATGACAGATGGCCGCGACCATTGGTGGCATGAGGAAATGGACGAAGTTGAACCAGCATGTTACCCAGAATGGATGGCTGCTGAGGATCCATTGTTCATGCTTTATACAAGCGGTAATTTTACATACGCTTTAAAAATTTGAACTTTAAAAATTAAAACAATGCATTATCCAATTTATGTATATCTCTATTGCAAGGCTCCACTGGTAAACCGAAAGGGGTTCTACATACTACAGGTGGTTATCTATTGTATGCTGCCACCACATTTAAAATGGTTTTTGACTACAAGCCCGATGACATCTACTGGTGCACTGCTGATGTAGGATGGATTACTGGACATTCGTATGTTGTCTATGGACCATTAGCTAATGGCGCCACCTCCGTTATGGTCAGTCATTGGTGCTATCATAAATATCTCTTTAATTGATAATCTTAGTGAATTCCACTTAGTAATTAACGTAATAGATCATTTTGGTGTCACTCACAATGATCCTCAAATTGAAAATGCAAGTGACAGTCGTTATAACAGCTAAACTATACAGATTTTTAGATTGGGTCCAAAAGGATAAAAGTGAAGTATGATTGTTTGAGTAAGTTCAGTCGCTTTCGGTCAATGCCTTACATTTAGAGTAAAGATTAAACACAAAAAAACTCTAACTTAACTCAGACAAAATACGAAAAAAAGGAGAAGAAAAAATCAATATATAATAAAAAGAATTCTTGTTAACTATGTTTAAGCAATTATGTTTTGTAATATACTGTTTTATTTCTGTCATAAGTTTTGTTAACTTAGCTGAGGAGAAGTATATCATCAAGAAATCCGATTCGTTAATTTTATGTTTTCTCGACATTTCTAGAAATTCTGAATCGAATGAGACCAAATTTGGGAATATTTGGTATGTGGTTGCGCGTGCGTGAGTCAATTTTTGACCCATTCATTGACGTCGTCTCAAAAACGATTGGACCAATCTTAAAATTTTGAAAGCCATTCGATGTAACTCTATAAAAACTAGCGTTTGTCAGGTTTGCACGACAATAGGCCGAGCCGTTTCTTTGTACCGTAGCTTCCCTTATTCATTACATTTTATATAGTGCTGTATTTAAAATATCAACTTTATAACAAAAGAGCATTTCTCACACTTTCGAGATGATTTAATAAATATGAATATTATTTCCAATAAATATGAGACTTTTTTTCCAACGCCAAATCGTCACTAACTAAATTTACCCTATTACAAGCTTGTTTTGGTTAATAATCTGTAAATTCTTAACTTTAGAAATCACATAGATTTCATCGAAAATATGCAGTTCTGTGTTTTTCGGTCATTTTTAACTTCTCCTAGGGTAGTTAACTTTCCGTAGGATAAGTTATGGTAATCGAAAAAAAATCGAAAATGAATATTTTTGCATATCTTCACGTTTTGAAGGTTTCTGAATATTTTAGCATACTTTAGAAAAAAATTGATGTGTGTGTGTGTATGTTTGTATACAAATTTCGTCCACGAATTTGGACGCATGAATCAACCGATTTGAATGATTCAAAAAGCATTTGATTCCTATTAATAAGAAGACGTACTGATTAGTTTTTGGTGAAGTTTAGCCGTTTCGAAGATACGTGCGAAATGTGCCACAAATAGTAATTTAGTTTTTGAGAGAACGGAGTACCCGATTTGAATGATTAAACTAGTGGTGTATGGCATCGTGCCTTAAGGCAAATTGCTGGAACTTCCCGTACCGTAATTAAAAATCTTGGTACGGAACCAAAAAAAAATTACACAAAATGTGTACACTTTGATAATATCTCTATAAAATATCTGATAATTTGATGTAAATATGTCCAATAAATATTTTTGGCCGCTAAATGACATTTTTGTTCCATAAATTGTCGACGAAAATTTCTATCCGCACTCACACCCACATATACACATACACATACACACTCACATAAACATCCATTTTTTCTAATGGTATGCCAGAATATTCAGAAACCTTTGAAACGTAAAGATATATAAAAAAAATTATTTTCGATTTTTTTGCGATTACTATAACTTGACTGAAGCACATGGTCAAAAATATTCATTTAAAGTATATAAGTGAACTTTAAAACTTTAGCTAGAATTAAAATCAAATCTGAATAACTACAAAAAAAAGAAAAAAATGAATGAAATTTTTTTCTTCAAAAGCAATTGTTTTGTCAACACAAGCTGAAAGTTTTTTGAATCATTCAAATCGGATGCTCCGATCTCTCAAAAACTCGATTTCTATTTTCTGCACTCTTTGCTTTGTATCTCTGAAACGGTTGGACCTGCCTTTGTCAAAAACTAATCAGCAAATCTCCTTATCGATAGGAATCGAATGTTTTTTGAACCATTCAAATCGGTTGATCCGTGCGCCCGAAAACGTCACCGAAATATTGTATCCATACATACATACACACACATCATTTTTTTCCAGTATGACATTAAAATGTTCAGAAACCTTCAAAACGTCGAAAAATGCAAAACTTTTCATTTTCGATTTTCGGCCCGTTACAATAACTTACCTTACGGGAAGTTAATAAATTAATAAACAAAGAAATAATTAAATAAAATAATATTAAATAAAATAAAAATCGATGAATAAATCTAATGATTAAATTAACAAAAAATGAAATAAACAAGCGAGACGGTTCACCCGCATGATTAGCGATTATATCCAAAACCTTTAGGGATTGCCAGATAATAAAGTATTGTCTGATTCTTACAAATGTCATCTGGCGACATCTAACAAGAATTTGGCGCGAACATATATTATTACAAATACTTTCAGTAACTTTCATAATTTTTGCTATCTTGTTATATCTGAGCAAATCAAATGTAAATCATAAATAAATCAAGTTATCTCCAGAACATTAACAATCGTCATTTCATTTCGAATTCAATTTCAAAACAATAGTTGCCTCCAAAATTACCCAAAATTGAAAAAGTGCTACCGTATAGCTGCTTAGATTGGCGGCATTTTCACATTTTTCAATAGTTCTCACAAAATTGTAAAAATGCTCCAGTACATAAACAGTCTATACGCACTTGGGTAAACATTTGTACCAGAAGGGTGCTTAGACTGTGCTTAGCCTGGGTGATTTTTTGAATTTTTAATCCAAAATTACAAAAAATATTTTTCGAAAAAAAAATTAGAAACTAAAATTTTTTTTGCAAAAGCAATTATTTTGTTGAAACAAGCAGAAAGTTTTTTGAATCATTTAAATCGGGCGCTTAGGTCTCTCAAAAACTGCCATTTTTTAACATTTAGCTCTGTATCTCCGAAACCGCTGGGCCTACCTTTTCCGAAACTAATAACCACTTTTCCCCGTCATTACGCACTGAATGTTTTTTGAATTATACAAATCGGATGATCCGTTCTCTCAAAAACTCAAATTCTATTTTCTGCACTCTTTGCTCCATATCTCCGTAACGGCTGGTCCTACCTTTGCCAAAAACTAATCAGCACATCTTCCTATTAATAGGAATCGAATGTTTTTAGAAACCATTCAAATCGATTGATCCGTGCGCCCGAAAACGTGGACGAAAAAATGCGGACATACAAAACACACACACACACACATCCATTTTTTCTGAGATATGCCAAGATGTTCAGAAACCTTCAAAACGTCGAGAAATGCAAAAATTTTCATTTTCGATTTTCGGCCCATTACTATAACTACCCCACGGGAAGTTAAAAAACATTTCACTTATATTGATAAAATATTTGGTATGGCAGGTCTAGCAGAAGATACAGAAGAAAAAGTAAAATAATGATATTTGGCCGTCAAAAATGATCATTAGACATATGCACATCAAGTTATTAGATATTTGATAAAAAATTTTGAAATGTGTACTAATTTTGTTACAATTTTGTTGGGTTTCGTACCAAGATTTTCTAAGCAATCTTTTTTATAATTCAAATATTCAATAACGCAAAGTACCAGCAATTTGCCTTAAGGCACCTCGAGTGGAAATTTATTACGGCAAGCCCTAACACAGGTCCGGCCCCTATTATATAGGGCTGTACTCCGGCGTCCGTATTACGGAATTTAGTGCGTGGCCCTCATAGGAGCCACATATGAGCGGCCCTAATATGGTAATTTGAATAGGGTCCATAAAAGGCATGCCTGAATTCTGCCCTAACACGGATTGCCCTGTATTACCCCTATAACGTATAGCCCATAATATGATGATATGGGCCGTATTGGGAATTCATTACTAGAACGCTAATACGGCTTTCCTATTATTGAGACCGGCCGTATTTACGTATTACGATTTATTAAATTTTTGTTAAAACAGAAACAATAGTACACATTTATTTAGGACAATTTCAGATTAAAGAAAAACAACTAAGCAAAAGAAAAGAAGAGTATTTTCCATTTTGAGCAATTTAAAGTTAATACAAATTTACAATACTCAATACGAGTTTAAATATTCAATTTATTTTTCTGATTAATTTTTTTATTTAATTATTGTGATCAATATTGAATATTGAATATTTTAATGGATCATATTATTTATTTTAATAAATATTAAATATTCAATTGATTTTTATGTTGTGATTGTGATTTATAATTTAATAAACTTACACGTGTCGAACTGATAATTTTATCAGTTCGACACGTGTAAGTTCGTTATCTAAACTAAACAATAGACACACTCATAACGCGCAACATAGATCCATTCATAAAATCGAACAGCTTCATATCAATCATGATATGTATTTGGCTATTCTCTAATGCTCTCACTGCCTTGAAGGCGAAGAAGTTATCAGTTTTCGGGAAGCACGAGACGATTTAGTATTACGTTCAAAACTGTAGAATATTTTCAATCTATACGAAAATAAGTTGTCAGTATTTATTTATAAGAAATTAATCAGTTTTGTGTATTAAATAATATAAAAAAATTAACAGTATCTCTCGCGCTCGCTTGTCACGTACGCCGTTTTGCTTGTGTTTTTTTCATATGAATTTTGTGAGATATTTCCGAGAAGTGGATATTATTTAGAGAATGAATACATTATTAATCACAGTCAGTGTTATTTATTTGTGTTCGTGAAGTTGATTTCTTCCTCAGAATCCTATTACGAGCGATCTGAGAAGTCCAGCTAAGAGCGAAATGTATTTTTCAATAATACAAGAAACGTATGACATTTCTCAACAAATTACCAATACGTCAAGTAAGTTAAAATTTCTTGAAAATTAATACCTTATTGAGAATGCACGAGAACAATGCATAAAATTAAGTGACGAAATTAACAAATTAAGACATTTGGAGGATCCGAGTTTTGTACCTGAGTATACCGACATAAGAGCCTTGGAAACTTTGTACGCAAAGATCAAGCATGTAGAAAAAATGTTAGATAATCAAAATATGTATAATTCGTCAATACCGGACAATGTTCCTAAACATCATTTACCATCTATAAAAATTCCCAAATTTTCCGGTGATTTACAACAATGGCCTTTATTTTATGAAACTTACAAAGGATTAATACATGAAAATACAGTATTAGATAACGTATCCAAATTTCATTTTTTAAAAGGTGCGTTAGGGGTCCGCCATTAAAATTGTTTCAGTCCATATTACCAACTGCGAATAATTATGAAATTTTATGGGAAGGACACCTGAAGAAGTACCAGAATAAACGATATTTAGCTACCACTTACTTTAAACACCTTTTATCGTTCAAAACCATGACATCTTCACAAATAAATTCATTTCTCGAGCAATTCGATACAGCTGTGCAAGCCCTTTCACAATTAAACATTCAAGATTAATTTGACTTCATGATAACCTCTATGGCACTCTCAAAACTCGATCCCGCTTTGCAAAAAAAATTTGAACATTCTTTTCAAGGAGAATTTTCAAAATACCAAGATCTTCTCCAATTTCTCCATAAGTCGCAGCAAGCTAAAAATTAAGTATATTGTATGGCAAGTATAACTAACAATTACACATATGATAAGCAAAATGATAAAAATTCTAAAATTAGTCGATCATTTCTTTTAAAAAATAAATATGAAAAGAAGTGCTTTGTATGTCAGGAAAAACACGCCATATTTACATATTCAAAATTACTAGAAATAAACATTCCTGATCGGCAAGCACGTATAAAAAATTTAAATCTATGTGTAAATGGTTTAAGCCATAAGACGACAGTTGCTTGTCGATCGAATAAAACTTGTTGTATATGTAAGGAACAGCATCATACATTGTTGCATACTGATAAGAATCTTGCAAATACGAATCAGAATTATCCGACTAATTTGAAATCCAATAGTACAGTTTTATGCAGTTTCAATAACAACAAACTCGCACCTAATACAACTATATTGCCGACATCGGTAACACAGGTTTCTACAAAAAAGAAAAATACTTCATTACGTATTATAATTGATTCTTGATGTAGAAAGGCCCATTTGAAAGTTCAACCAGTTCAACCAAAGTAATCGGATTAGGTAATTCGTCGCAAAACGTGATAGGATTGGTTAACTTCACTTTAAAATCCTCAATCAATCCATATCAATTGCCAGTATGTGCATATGTTGTGCACGAAATTGAAAGAAAACAACCACGAACCACAATTCCAATTTCATCAATTCAATCATTCTTGAAGTACCCCTTAGCAGATCCGAAGTTTTATTTGACTCAAAAGGTTGACGGCATATTAGGATGTGATGTTTTCAGCGAAGTCATGGGTACTAATAAGGTGAAAAATGGTCAAGGATTACCTATGGCACTAGAAACTCGATTGGGTCATATAATAATGGGTTCGATATCAAATTTACTTCAACCTTTGCGTAAAAAGAGAAGACGTGCTGATTAGTTTTTGGTAAAGACAAGCCTAGCTGTTTCGAAGATACGAGGCAAAGTGTACCAAAAACGGTAATTCATAATGTTTCAAAAAACATTTGTATTGACGAAGTGATGAATTAGTTATATTTTTCAGGTTTCGGAGATACAAAGAAAATGTGAAAAAATATTTGGCGGTCTAAAATGATCATTAGACATATTGACATCAAACTATAGATATTTTATAGATATTTTAATAATAAGAACAAATTTTGTTACATTTTTTTGGGTTCCGTACCAAGATTTTCAATTTTTAGAGTCCACTTATACGGTTCAAACAAATTTTAAAATTTTCTGAAAAAAAAAATTTCCAAAATTTTCAAAAATATACAAAGTTTTACTTTGCTTTTCACTTTAAATGTGAATTTTAAATTTATAATTTAGTTTGAAACTGTATATATTTCATATGCGGTATTCTACTCGTAAGAAATATATCCTTAGATAGATTCATGTAAACGTAAAGTTTCAAGTGTTTTGAGTGATGATTTGAGATCGTCACTGTATATTATATGAACGAATAAATATATAGTAATTATAATTATCTATCTGAAAACAATTGTTATTAATTATTGATCAAAATGTATGGATTATTAATTTTTTTGCTCGAATTTTTTTATTGTGGTACGGGAAGTTCTAGCAATTTGCCTAAAGGCACGATGCCATGCACCACTAGTTTAGATCACATTCAAATGGGACGCACGGAAATACGTAGCAAGGAATCCAGAAAATAGAAATCGAGTTTTTGAGAGATTAAAGCATCGGATTTAAATGATCCAAAAAACATTCAATTTGTAATGACGGGCATAAGTCGTGATTAGTTTTTGGCAAAGGCAGGTTTAGCGGTTTCGGAGTTACAGAGCTAAATGTGCAAAAAATGGCAGTTTTTGAGAGAACTAAGCGTTCGATTTGAATAATCCAAAAAAATGTCTGCTTGTTTTAACAAAATAATTGCTTATAGAAAAAAATTGTTTCATTTTTTTTTTCAAGAAATATTATTTTTGTATATAAAAAATTCAGATTTTAATTGTAATTCTGACTTAAGTTCTAATATACTTTAAACAAATAGTTTAAGCTTTGCAATTCAGTTTATATAATTCTTATAAATGTTACAATACAATAAAACAGTATTTATTTATAATAATCTATAATCTTTTTGAAAACATTTAATATTCTTCGAACATTTCGTTACGGTACGAGAAGCTCCAGCAATTTGCCTTAAGACAGGATGCTATACACACCACTAGATTTATTTCTTTTTGGACTCTACCATCAAATATATACATATATAATATATATATATATATATATATATATATATATATAGGTATTATATTTATAGATATACGTATATATATATATATATATATATATATATATATATATAAATGGTATAAAATTAGTGCGTCTATATGTTTTGACACATTATCTAATCATTTTCATTTTCTTATTTTTCAGTTTGAAGGGACGCCATTTTATCCGGATAACGATAGATATTGGGCGGTTATTGAAAAATACAAAGTGACCCAGTTTTACACAGCACCAACCGCCATAAGAGCTTTGATGAAGTTCGGGGAAGAACCAGTCAAGAGACATAACCTTTCTACTTTGAAAGCAAGTATTCTGATTTTGCTATAATTCTGAGTTTGAATTTGAATTCTGAAATCTTTGTATAAATTTGAAAGTTTTGCGACAATGGTTAAAAAAAATTAGTGTCACAAATTCTAGTGGTTTTTTTGTTATTATTTGAAAACTTTCTTTTCCCGTATTTAGTTATTAAAGTTTCTCGTTCTGTATTATTATGGTGTTCCTTAAAGAGTTTTGCCGTAGTTATGGCAATTCGCCACAAGAGGAGTTTTTTATGTTACATTACTCTAGTTTATATAAGTTATGTGATTCAAGCGTTTTCTATTAAATCATAAACATGCTAATGGCATAGAATAGCATTATCTAAATTATTCTATGATTCCGCCAGAAAAACCTTTCTGTCGTATTTACTACTATTATCAATAAAAAAGGTATACATAAAATATATACAGAGAATTTTCTATAGTTCGCAGTTGACGTTTACTTTACCGAAAACCGATTAAATTTTGTATTCATTCTTGTCTTGAGTGTCAATAAATATTAACCAGTAACAGAACGTATTTAATCTCCATACAACATATTCAGTCATCTGTCGTTGGAAAGGAGTTATTATTGGTGGTTTGCTCCGACATATGAGAACAGCACAATTCATTTACGCCTATTTTATACATTGCATATACCTTCTCTATTCTTTGTCCGTTCTTTCACTCCATTTATTTTTCCTTTGATGATGTCTTGAAGAAGTCGCTCCTGTCTAAATATGGGTCCAATTGCTTACACTACAAATAGCCTATGTAGGCCTTTCAAAAGGTAAATATCTCTTATATGTAAAAACTTACGCTCCAAATGCAGCATTTTATCATTTTATTTCATAAGTTTTGACTTAGTTTGATCGTTTAATTGAATTCTCCTTTTATGAATCGAATTACCTCGTCACCACAGTTATAATCTTATTTATTGTGTGAAACATCAATGTGGAGTGTAGTTCTAGTATTTTTTATAAAATCGAGTTTGGTCGACTACAGAGTAGGGGGAAGTCCCCGAGTGCCGAACACCTAAGGTTATTTATAAATAAATCAAAAATAACCAGCATTGAACACATATGTAGCCATCTCCACACTCTGGAATGTCTGAATATGTGTGTTTGACGAATATTCTTAGATGTTGCAAAAAATCACTATTTATCCACCCTTTTGGCTGGGCTATACCGATGCTCTCAGCTGGAGTATTTACCATAAGCTTTTCATTATTTGATTAGAAAATACGAAAAATGGGGCTATGTAATGACCGATAGCACTCATACAGAACAAAATTAAATAATTAGAATAAATTACGTCAGTTTTCACAAGAAATATAAATATGTTTACTGTCCGGCGTTAAGGAACGACTTAGTTTACGGTTGTAAGAGACAGACATTTTCGTTTATTAAATACGTGTTAAATAGAGTGTCCGGCACTAGGTGCCGTCCGGCGTTACGGTACCTACTAAAATTGTTTAAAATAACTAATGATATTCTACCATTTTACGGATAACAATTGAGTACTACTTTTATCTTTGAATGCCACTGAAATGTAAAAGCATAAATATACTAGAATTACTTCCATTGATATTTAAGTGACGCCGTTATTTTGCGCCTAAAACAGCAAACGGTTGCTCACGCCGTGGCCGTGTGTGTCACATGTGAGTCTTGGTGCATTATCCCGCAGGTGTGTGCACCACGCGCCTCTTTCACTTGTATTTTGAAATAGAAAGATTTTTACTCGCTTAAATAATACGTGTTTAATAGAAAGACCGGCACTAGATGCCGTCCGAGGTTACGGGACTTCCCCCTACTATTTCTTTCTATCGAGTCGAAACTGCCGGTCTTGTATTCCTGCTTTTAATTACGTATAATTGCTTATCTGCAATCTTCATCGTCCTAGTTCTTTCAGACTTTCTATTTTTTTTTAGATAATATCATATGAAAAACACGTTGTTACTAACAAGAATTCGATCTAGTTTTTTTCTTTTTTTTTACAATAGTGTCCAGTAGGGTACTTTTCTTTCCCGTTCTTTACATTTGTCGCTTTGTCGTTCCATTTTATCTTCAGTATTATCTGGAAACTCTCAAAGCTCGTTCTTCATTAGTTCAAGTACTTTTTTGCGCATATATACTGTATTATGTATATGTGTTTAAAATTTCAGATAATCTACAACTATTTTATATTTTCTGGTAGGTTCTTGGTAGTGTAGGAGAACCCATCAATCCTGAAGCGTGGATGTGGTACTACAAAACAGTCGGAAAAGAGAAATGTTCAATTGTCGACACATTTTGGCAAACAGAAACTGGTGGCCATGTGGTCACACCATTGCCGGGATGCACCCCAATGAAGCCTGGCGCAGCAGTAAGTAAAAGTCAAATCTAATTGTCGAACAGTTAGTTATAATACATTTATTATTTCAAAGTTGGTCATTGTTCTCAGATTTGCTCGTTGGATATATATAAAAGTTGGATAAACCTTGCATTACAATAGAGTTTGTAGTGAAAACGATCTCTTCAAAATATGATAAGCCTTTGAGATGAGGTTTAATTATAAAAGTTAATTGAAGTATTGAAAAATATGTTTTCATAAAACATGGCAATAGATTTCATGGTCTAAAGTTCAGACCTAAACAAACATCATAAAATTTTATAGATCTACTAAAAGGGGTTGAATAATTAATACAATTACATTTATTAAGTTTGTTCGAAGAATCTTTTTAGGAAATGACATACATAAGTTCTTAGTGAAAGCGAAAACTTAAATAGCTAAATGACAATTCATAGTGATTAAGTCGAATATTTACAAAAATCGGTAGGTCTCGTGGTCTCAAAATTAGTAGAAATTACGTCAAAACGCTACGTATTTTTTCAATATTTGATGAATTTTGAAAAACTAAACGATTTGGCGTAGAGTCGTAATATTTTTGAATGGTGTATAGGACCATTCGTATGATATCGAACGTCAGAAAAAAACCATAAAAATCGAGGAAAAAAATTTTTCAACAGTTAATTACAAGGACACTGGCCGGCCGATCGTTACCAAAAACTAATCAGCACGATTACCAACCATACCTTTTGAACGATTTAAAATTTTTAAAATCGATTCAGAATTGTGTTTTTACACTTTTTTGCTAATTACAAAAAAACTTGATCGTGCAAACCCTCTTGGTGGCTTGGTGGAATGGCTTTTAAATTTTTGAAATCTGTTCAGCCGTTTCTGAGAAAACGTCGAGGAAAAGTCAAAAATCGGCTCACATACACACACACCTATCCATACATACATATCCATACATACACACACATATACTCACACGCATTCTCTTTCCAAATTTGGTCTCATTCGATGCAGAATGGCTTGGAACGTCGAGAAAACATAAAATTAGCAAATTGGATTTTTGGACGAGAACGAACTTCTCCTTCGGGAAGTTAATTTTTTTTTAATTTAAATTTCAAAAATTATAAAGCTTACTTATATGTTTGAAATAAATAATTTTATTTTTGCAATTCTATGTAATTCGTAGAAATGTGAGATAAAATCCTTCATTCTACGTCGGTTTGATTAGATTTTGTTTATTTTATTTTTTTTTAAAGATCGTTGTTCTATTTACAAGCTCTTGTATTTGCGTCTATAAAATATGAATAATGAATGTTACAGTTTTAATAATAATTTATTTGGAAACATTTTAAACAATTGTTATTTTATTATTTATTTTGGAATATTTAATTTCGCTACGGGAATTGAATATTTTCGGAAGTTTGAGCAATTTGCCTTAAGGCATGATGCCCATTTAACTAACATAACTTCACTAATCGTCATAATGGCACTTGATCCATTTTACACTAAAAGAGAATTATTCACCGAATTATGATACCAATTGTGAAATCTTTTTTATCTTGTATTGCTTTTTTTTTTCCTTTCTTTTTCCTATTTTGTCTTAGTTCAATTAGATTTTTCTTTACGTGTTTAGCCTTGCAACCGACGTAAAAGCATGCCACAACCCACAAAATTGGTCAAAACCGCACCCAACGAGCTTAATTACAGTTCGTAAAAACTTATGTCCGGCTATATCAAAACAACAAACAAAGTAACCTATCTGTGTACAAGTAATAGTAACAGTATTAAAATAAATCGAATAAAAAACTTGCTTTTGACACATTAAAAGCAATGCTGCCTGCAGACCATATTAATGTAGGGCGCTGACTGAAAGCAATAATAGGATCTTCCCGCAGGATAAATTATAGTAATCGCAAAAAAATCGAAAATTAACATTTTTATATATCTTCACGTTTCAAAGGTTTCTGTACATTTTGGCCTACCTAAGAAAAAAATTGATGCATGCTTGTGTGTGTGTATGTTTATTTACAGGTTATAGTCTGGGTATGTCGGACTCAATACCGCCCGGGTATAATACCGACTAAAACCACCGCTTTGCCCTTGCCTCTGGTCCCCACGGAAACCGCCATTAGGCATTACTTCGTGGGGTGAGGATATAGAAATGTATGTGTGGGTGTATGTGTCTTTTTTGTATAGCGAAGGAAATGTCCCAGTTGCTGCCATCCCAGTTGCTGCCATCGGTAAATGCTGTTCTGCCGTTCTTCTAATCTCAACTCTTCAGGACTCAGTTGTTGATGTCTTCTATGGTAAATTGTCCGCCTTTCCTCTGCTAAGCATAAGGGAGGCAGAGTTTCTGAAATGACGCACACTGCTTCCTTCGATATTGTGCGAAATGCGCAAGCAATTCTTAGAGCACTCAGTCGATGTATAGGTCCTGCCGTTCTCCTTGATTTTTGAGTTTGAGAGCATAAGCCTATATGGAGATACCATATGTCAGCAACGAATATGAATATGTGTATGTATGTGTGTGTGCGGATACAAATTTTCGTAGACGATTTTGGTAACACGGATCAACCGATTTGAATAATTTAAAAACCATTCGATTCGTATTGATAAGGAGACGTGTTGATTAGTTTTCAGGCATAGACAGGTCTAACCGTTTCGAAGATACGGGGCAAAAAGAGCCAAAATAGTAATTCAGTTTTTGAGCGAACGAAGTGTCCGATTTGAATAATTTAAAAAACCATTTTATTTATATTGATCAAATAACGAACTGTTCAAATTTTTCGAAAGGCAGGTCTAGCGGTTATAATGTTACGATAAAAAAATTTAAAAATGCCATTTGGCGGTCAAAAATTCATTAGACATATGCACATCAAATTATCAGATATTTTGTAGAGATTTTAATATTGCGTACATATTTTGTGTCAATTTTTTGGGGTTCCGTACCAAGATTTTTAATTTTAAAATCTACGTATATGGTTCTCAAACAAAAGTCCTTTGTCCTTTGATTTGTATGATTAAAAAATCATTCGGTTCGTACTCGATCGCGAGCGTTTTTGCAAAAGGCTTTTTTGCCGTTTTAGAAGTATGGAGGGCAAAGGGTATAAAAAGGGATCATCAGATTGAAAATTAATTGAAATATTTTGCTTGAGTAGACGGTATGCAAAAAATGCTTTTACAGAAAATTTCGTAATTTGAAAATTTTCAAAAAAAAATCTAATTTTTCTGAAAAAATTCAAAGATTCAAATAATTCAAATTTTTACGAAATTTTTCGTCATTTCGTCAAAAAGAAAATTATATTTAAACAATTTTATTTTTATAATTTTTAATAAAAATCGATTTCTTACAAAAATTTCAAAATATTTCGAAATTTTCAGAAAATCGAATATTTTTAAAAATATTAATATATTTTTAAAAACGTTTTATTTTTAAATTCCAAAAAATTTCAAACTTCTGAAAAAAATTCAAAATTTGAAAAAAAATCTAAATTATCAAAAAATCTAATTTAAAAAAAAATCACAAATTTCTTATGAACATACACATAAGATGTGTAGAATACACTCGTCGCGCAATTCAAAAAGCACTTACTAGTTTAAATTGAAAATGTTTGCATTTCTCGACGTTTTGAAGGTTTCTGAACATTTTGGCATACTTCAGAAAAAATGGATGTGTGTGTGTGTGTTTTGTTGTCCGCATTTTTTCGTTCACGTTTTCGGGCGCACGGATCAACCGATTCGAAGTTATGGAAAAATTTTTTAAGAAAGGATTAATGATAAAATTGAATTAATTACCTGTATGTTTGAATATACGTTAGCACTTTTTCACTAAACAAGAATTTTTGACAAAAATGAATTTGTGAGTTATTTTTCCGCCGAATAGTTAACTTTTGTAAATCAAAATTACTAAAAGTGTTGTCTTTTTTTTTAAATTATTATTTGAAAACAAATAATATTGTATTCGATGTTATACTATTGGCTTTTGGAAACGAACTAACTCTATTTGGTGGTTCATATGTAACACGTGTAAACACTTGAAACGAGAACTGTGAGATTGTATGTGTGTGTTTTTTTCATGTTAGGGTGTAAATACTTAAATTATTGAACTTAAAAGGAAGTCGATATTAATTGTTTGTCAAAAGGTGTAAAAAATTTAAATATGAATCATTTAATAGGTTGTGATCTGATCTAATGTTGACACTGTTAGAAACATTCATGAGAATAAGACAACTCTCCGCGAATAATCTCCTAAAGATGCAACTTCCATGATATAAAATCTTTGGAGTAAAATTAAATGAATGGGCGTTTTCTATAGAGTGTTGTACTAGGGTACTTTTGAAATTTTTTTGTTTATGGTGGACCACACTTAGTTCATGTTGTCTCATGTACACAAGAGAATGACCCGGCAAACGCTGTTTTGCCATCAAAAATATTTTTCCGCATTGCAGAAGTTCTTATAATATACATGATATATTAATAATAATGTTATATTTCTATTACACGAATTTCTTTACATTTTGATAATTAATTCGAACGCATCATAGTGCTTTGTTTATTTTAATTTTATTTATGTCAAATAGTGAAATATTTCTAATCAATGAATAAATTAGATTTTAGTCTGAATCATCGCAGTACCATTATCTAAATATATAATTTTTATATAAATATCAGATTGTTTACTTTTGCATTCAATTTAAGAGTATTGAATGTCAATTTCACATATCCAATATGCACTAAATTTTTAAATGCCAAAATATTTCCTTTTTGGTTCGAAATTTAATATAATATGATATAATTTATATCTATAATTTGATTGCCAATATTGCCTATAACATAATTTGGAATAATTAATTTATTTGTATCTTATTGAAGTCGTTAAAAATTCATTTTTTTGAACTGTCAGAATTTTGTTTATGATTAATGTTAAATTCAATATGTCGCTTTTTTATTGTGATCTTTAAAGTTTTAATCACTTATCATATAAATTTTCGACTGCAAATTGATATTTATACTATCCCTGAAACTAA